TCTTTCCCTGGTGGTGAGAGTCCATTGTTTCTTTAGACCTCTTTTCCCTTTTCCATTCCAACTAACGTTAATGAACAGATATTTATTAGACTAAAAGCAGCTGTTTTCTTGCACTACTGCACTACTTGACCTGTGCTCGCATACATAGCACGGAGCAGGCAAGACAAGATGAACTCCCAAATAGTGGTATGTGCGCGTGCAAACTGTTTGCCATCCACACATATTCAACGTCGCTAGGGGAAATCAGCCGTGACTGTGGAGAGAGAGAGAGGCCCATACTCCCAAGTAGTTGTCCAGAGCTCGTTCACCATGCCCAGTTCGCTAGGATTATAAGCCTAGGGCCGGTGAAGTGGTTGTCGCTTTAACAAGTGAGGTATTGAACGTGCTAGATAAAAGCGGAGAATGGAGGAGCAGAGGCTAGCTTGTGCTTGCATCAGTTCAACAGAGCTGACAAATTCCAACTGCACAGATATTTAAGATCCCTGGTTCGTGTCTTTGCCTGGTGGTGACAGTCCATTGTTTATTTAAATTTTTTTCCCCTTTCCATTCCAACTAATGAACAGATATTATTTTATTAGACTAAAAGCAGCTGTTTTCTTGCACTACTGAACTACAGTGAAACCTGGTTAGGAAGAACACTGATAAGACAAATGTTTGCTTAAGAAGAACTAGTATTCGTAACTGTTTTGAGTAAAACCCCGTGTATTCACTGGGTAAAACAGTCATATGGATAAGAAGAACTCCCGTTATTGCGAACAAATATCATCGGTCCCTTGATGTTCGTCCTAAAGAGGTTTGACTGTACTTGACCTGTGCTCGCATACATAGCACGGAGCAGGCAAGACAAGATGAACTCCCAAGTAGTGGTATGTGCACGTGCAAACTGTTTCAAGTGTTTGCCATCCACACATATTCAACGTCGCTATGGGAACTCAGCCGTGACTGTGGAGAGAGAGAGGCCCATACTCCAAGTAGTTGTCCAGACCTCGTTCACCATGCCCAGTTCGCTAGGGCTTGAAAGTGATGACGTCAAAACGGCCAGGGAGTAGTAAGTTGACTTCAGATTTCTATTTTTGGATCCATTAAGGTGTGACTTTGCCATTGCCTAAGTATGTGGGTGCATAGCAACCCACTCATGTCGCATGCAGGTGTGACTTTTATTTCGCCACCAGTTGTAACCCCGCCCCCAGTAGCCAAATCAGTCAGTTTCACTGGCTACATCACCATGCGGTGGGTAAGATCGCTTGAAATGTGCTTGGATCCATACAAAAACTGGATCCAAGTGGATCCAGTTTTTGAATTTTTGAAATTGTTGCTATGCTGTGACGTAGCACTTTCAAGCCTTGCATAGGGCCGGTGAAGTGGTTGTCGCTCTAACAAGTGAGGTGTTGAACGTGCTAGCTAAAAGCGGAGAATGGAGGGGCAGAGGCTAGCTTGTGCTTGCATCAGATTGTTCTGTGATACCTCACCACCTTCTCCCTGGTTGAGCAGGTCAACTTCACTACACTCTTGCGCCGGGAAGCAGGTTGTCGGCCCCTCCGACGACGACGGAGGCTGGCTCGTGGTTTCGGACGGTCCGCTGTAGCCATGCCAGGGCCGGGCGAATTTGCTTGCCCCATATTCTGCATGCTACCTTCATCGGATGAGTCGCTGCCGGTATCACTGCCGCTGTCACTACTATCTGATCCAGCACCAGCAGCAGCTGCATTGGCCGGAGCTGGAGTGCTGTCGCTACCAGCCTGTCCCATGTTCTGTGCCGGCATATTGCCTGCACCACCGCCTGCTTGCATGGCCGCTTCCTCGCTGCTATCGCTGCTGTCGTCGCTGATGCTGCGTGCGGACAGGTGCACCTCGCGACTCGCTTCAAGGAAGTCGCCCAGTACGCCGGCATGGACCACGGCGGCAGTCATGGCCCAAGCGAAGGTGAGCAACACCAATGCCTTCATCTTGTCTTGCCTGCTTCGTGCTATGTATGCGAGCACAGGTCAAGTAGAGCAGTAGTGCAAGAAAACGAATGCTTTTAGTCTAATAAATATCTGTTCGTTAGTTGGAATGGAAAAGGGAAAAAAGGTCTAAAAAAACAATGGACTGTCACCACCAGGCCAAGACACGAAACAGGGATCCTCCATATCTGTGCAGTTGGAATTTGTCAGCTCTGTTGAACATTAGTGTGTTGACGATGTACAATGTGTGCTGTGATAGCATGGAGAACTTCCCTGGCTTCCCCAGGGACTAGTCACAGTAGACGTGTGAAGTTGCCAGAAGTGAAGTGTTCAGAGTCTTTTGGTGGCTTCCTTCCCTAAGTAATTGTACTACATCATGTCTAAGCCAGATTGGCCGCACAGTAACACATGACACTCAAGTCATGTTTGCACTGGTGGCAGCTTTCTACACTCAACTTCCAAATAGTGGTATGTGCGCGTGCAAACTGTTTGCCATCCACACATATTCAACGTCGCTATGGGAACTCAGCCGTGACTGTGATGAGAGAGAGACGCCCATACTCCAAGTAGTTGTCCAGAGCTCGTTCACCATGCCCAGTTCGCTAGGATTTTTAGCCTAGGGCCGGTGAAGTGGTTGTCGCTTTAACAAGTGAGGTGTTGAGCATGCTAGCTAAAAGCGGAGAATAAAGGAGCAGAGGCTACCTTGTGCTTGCATCAGCTCAACAGAGCTGACAAATTCCAACTGCACAGATATTTAAGATCCCTGGTTCGTGTCTTTGCCTGGTTGTGACAGTCCATTGTTTCTTTAGACCTCTTTTCCCTTTTCCATTCCAACTAATGAACAGATATTTATTAGACTAAAAGCAGCTGTTTTCTTGCACTACTGCACTACTTGACCTGTGCTCGCATACATAGCACGGAGCAGGCAAGACAAGATGAACTCCCAAATAGTGGTATGTGCGGGTGCGAACTGTTTGCCATCCACACATATTCAACGTCGCTATGGGAACTCAGCCGTGACTGTGGAGAGGGAGAGGCCCATACTCCAAGTAGTTGTCCAGAGCTCGTTCACCATGCCCAGTTCGCTAGGATTATAAGTCTAGGGCCGGTGAAGTGGTTGTCGCTTTAACAAGTGAGGTATTGAACGTGCTAGATAAAAGCGGAGAATGGAGGAGCAGAGGCTAGCTTGTGCTTGCATCAGTTCAACAGAGCTGACAAATTCCAACTGCACAGATATTTAAGATCCCTGGTTCGTGTCTTTGCCTGGTGGTGACAGTCCATTGTTTATTTAAATTTTTTTCCCCTTTCCATTCCAACTAATGAACAGATATTATTTTATTAGACTAAAAGCAGCTGTTTTCTTGCACTACTGAACTACAGTGAAACCTGGTTAGGAAGAACACTGATAAGACAAATGTTTGCTTAAGAAGAACTAGTATTCGTAACTGTATTGAATAAAACCCCGTGTTTTCACTGGGTAAAACAGTCATATGGATAAGAAGAACTCCCGTTATTGCGAACAAATATCATCGGTCCCTTGATGTTCGTCCTAAAGAGGTTTGACTGTACTTGACCTGTGCTCGCATACATAGCACGGAGCAGGCAAGACAAGATGAACTCCCAAGTAGTGGTATGTGCGCGTGTTTGCCATCCACACATATTCAACGTCGCTATGGGAACTCAGCCGTGACTGTGGAGAGAGAGAGAGAGGCCCATACTCCAAGTAGTTGTCCAGAGCTCGTTCACCATGCCCAGTTCGCTAGGATTATAGCATAGGGCCGGTGAAGTGGTTGTCGCTCTAACAAGTGAGGTGTTGAACGTGCTAGCTAAAAGCGGAGAATTGAGGAGCAGAGGCTAGCTTGTGCTTGCATCAGTTTGTTCTGTGATACATGACCAGCATTGATATGGCTGCTCACCACCTCCTCCTTGGTTGAGCAGGTCAACTTCACTGCACTCTTGCGCCGGGAAGCAGGTTGTCAGCCCCTCCGACGACGACGGAGGCTGGCTCATGGCTTCGGACGGTCCGCTGCTAGCCATGCCAGGGCCGGACGAATTTGCTTGCCCCATATTCTGCATGCTACCTTCATCGGATGAGTCGCTGCCGCTATCACTGTCGCTGTCACTACTATCTGATCCAGCACCAGCAGCAGCTGCATTGGCCGGAGCTGGAGTGCTGTCGCTACCAGCCTGTCCCATGTTCTGTGCCGGCATATTGCCTGCACCGGCGCCACCGCCTGCTTGCATGGCCGCTTCCTCGCTGCTGTCGCTGCTGTCGTCGCTGCTGCTGCGTGCGGACAGGTGCACCTCGCGACTCGCTTCAAGGAAGTCGCCCAGTACGCCGGCATGGACCACGGCGGCAGTCATGGCCCAAGGGAAGGCGAGCACCACTAATGCCTTCATCTTGTCTTGCCTGCTTCGTGCTATGTATGTGAGCAAAGGTCAAGTAGAGCAGTAGTGCAAGAAAACAAATACTTTTAGTCTAATAAACATCTGTTCATTAGTTGGAATGGAAAAGGGAAAAAAGGTCTAAAGAAATAATGGACTCTCACCACCAGGCCAAGACACGAACCAGGGATCTTCCATATCTGCGCAGTTGGAATTTGTCAGCTCTGTTGAACATCAGTGTGTTGACGATGTACAATGTGTGCTGTGATAGCATGGAGAACTTCCCTGGCTTTCCCAGGGAATAGTCACAGTATACGTGTGAAGTGGCCAGAAGTGAAGTGTTCAGAGTCATTTGGTGGCTTCCTTCCCTAAGTAATTGTAGTACATCATGTCTACGCCAGATTGGCCGCACAGTAACACATGACACTCACGTCACGTTTGTACTGGTCAACTTTCTACACTCAACTCCCAAGTAGTGGTATGTGCGCGTGCAAATTGTTTGCCATCCACACATATTCAACATCGCTATGGGAACTCAGCCGTGACTGTGATGAGAGAGAGACGCCCATACTCCAAGTAGTTGTCCAGAGCTCGTTCACCATGCCCAGTTCGCTAGGATTATAGCCTAGGGCCGGTGAAGTGGCTTTAACAAGTGAGGTGTTGAATGTGCTAGCTAAAAGCGGAGAATAAAGGAGCAGAGGCTAGCTTGTGCTTGCATCAGTTCAACAGAGCTGACAAATTCCAACTGCACAGATATTTAAGATCCCTGGTTCGTGTCTTGGCCTGGTGGTGACAGTCCATTGTTTCTTTAGACGTCTTTTCCATTCCAACTAATGAACAGATATTTATTAGACTAAAAGCAGTTGTTTTCTTGCACTACTGCACTACTTAACCTGTGCTCGCATACATAGCACGAAGCGGGCAAGACAAGATGAAGACATTGGTGGTGCTCGTCGTCGCTTGGGCCATGACTGCCGCCGTGGTCCATGCCGGCGTACTGGGCGACTTCCTTGAAGCGAGTCGCGAGGTGCACCTGTCCGTACGCAGCAGCAGCGACGACAGCAGCGATAGCAGCGACAGCAGCGATAGCAGCGACAGCAGCGATAGCAGCGACAGCAGCGAGGAAGCGGCCATGCAAGCAGGTGGTGGCGCCGGTGCAGGCAATATGCCGGCACAGAACATGGGACAGGCTGGCAGCGGCAGCACTCCAGCTCCGGCCAATGCAGCTGCTGCTGGTGCTGGATCTGATAGTAGTGACAGTGGCAGTGATAGCGGCAGCGACTCGTCCGATGAAGGCAGCATGCAGAATATGGGGCAAGCAAATTCGCCCGGCCCTGGCCTGGCTAACAGCGGACCGTCCGAAGCCACGAGCCAGCCCCCGTCGTCGTCGGAGGGTCCAACAACCTGCTTCCCCGCGCAAGAGTGCAGTGAAGTTGACCTGCTCAACCAGGGAGGTGGTGGTGACGCCGGTGGGCTAACACCCTCGGCTCTGTACACCGCCGCGTTCAGCATCTTCAACGAGAACTCGTTTGCGCCCTCCGTCGGTTCTCTGCTGGGTGAGTTCAACGACCGCAGCACCATCCAGTGTGCACGTGACTTCACAGACTTCAACGGCACGACAGTACAAGCAACGCAGGCGGACGGCTCGGGTATGATAGACTTCTTCTTTCCGGCTGCGCAGGCAGCAGGTGAGCCACGCACCCTGAACGACGCAACTGTCGATTTCACCTTGCCCAACCTGGGCTCGTTCGGTGATCTCCGGCTGCGCTTCATGTACGACCCTAGTGGCAATCTGCAGTCCACAGAGCAGTTCTTCCGCCCGCCGAACCAGGGAAATGACCAGTTCTTTCCATTTCCCCTGACTCAGACAGTGAGTACAATATGACTGTGTGTGTGTGTGTGTGTGTGTCTGTCTGTCTGTGTGTGTGTGTGTGTGTGTGTGTGTGTGTGTGTGTGTGTGTGTCTGTGTCTGTCTGTGTGTATGTGTGTGTGTGTGTGCGTGCGTGCGCGCGTGGGTGTGTGCGTGCGCGCGTGTATGTGTGCGTGGGTGTGTGCATGCGTGTGTGTGTGCGTGTTGTGAGGTACAGTACTGTCTTGTGAAAAAAAAGGAAAAACGAGCACGTTCACTTAAATCACTTCTATACGAAGACGAGTGTTGATTCTTTCAAGTTGGTCACGAAGTGCAACAATATGTGTAGAACGAAATGGCCAGCTTATAGGAGATGGGAGTTCAGATTGAGAAGAGGACAGTGTCATCCATTGCGTTGCGCTTGTGTTACCACTGCACAGGTGATCAATCTTCTTCACACGATGCTAGTGCTTGTTTCCGAAAAAAAAACACAGCTAAGGGCGCGCTCACACTGCGACCATGAGCACGCGTCCATGCGCCAGCAAAACGCAGAAACGTGGCAGTCGTGCTCACACTAGGCCTCGTACACGCCTAGACGTGAAGTTGTCACACAAACTTTACGAATTGCAGTTCGTATCCAAAAGAGTTCGTGCGTTACTTAATAAAGTTGTGGCCCGTTTTCATGGTTTTGGATGTAATTTTTCGCATGTTGCATGTTGGTGGAAGTGCCTCGTGGCAGACGTGGCTCGTATTCTTGAAGTCGACGAAAATAATTCATACAATCAGGTAGGTTTGGACTCTTGAGGGGCTGACATCCAAGCGCTTTCGCTTTCCTGACCTCGTGGTCGGAGCAAGTGCCAGTGCAGTGGAAAGTCCGGTAGTGGTTTCTGTTGTCTGTTGCCGAGATGAGAACTGTATTTTCCGATGATATGTAACTGAAATGTCTTGAGGTATGGCATTCCATCATCGCAGAAAGGGAGAGAAAGATGATATCCCAAACCGAAAAGCCAGACCAAGCTGCCATCGAACGAGTACACTGTAGAAATTGATGATCAACTGACAACGAAGCAACTAAAAACAAATTTGACATCGTCCAAAAAGGGAAAAGAATGCATATATGGCGGTGCGTGCGTGCAGGACCGCTACAAAATTAAATGTGCAAATGTCGAGGATGACATCGACAACCGCCGAGTTTCATGAATCAACACACCAGAATTTGAGAAATTGAACATACTTCAGGCCAGGTTGTACACAAATACGCTTCACATCTACGATCATGTTGCCGCCAAGTCGTGGCACCCCCCTCCGGAGGTCGCGGTCACGATTTGAAACGTGGCCGCGACGTTTTGGTCAAGTTCATGCCGTTGCCATGCAACTTGGCCGCATGGCCGCATGGACGCTGGTTTTGGTCGCAGTGTGAGCGCGCCCTTATGAAGAGCTGAGATGCAAAACCCGATAGGCATCAAAATTGAGAAAATCACATTTTTACCTCCGTGTAATCAACAGGTCTAGGGACAACAACATGCAAAATTTCACATCCACACTCGGACTGGAACCATTTCAAAACTGGAATTCGAACACGGATTTAGATACAAATCGCACACAAAATGAGTGCTTTTTGACCATTATCCGAAAAGTGATGAAATTGATTCATCATTTTTGCATTCCAGCCCTTCATATAACGTGTATACTATATTTCAAATGCTGGTCACTTCACTGCACGTATGCATGCATGCAGAGAGACTGCATGAAAATATCACCTGCTGATGTTTCAAGCTGTATTTGTGTGTTGTCCTATGTGTTGTCCTGTGTGTCCACCCTCTCTACAGGTCTGCAGGGAAATTCCCGGAGAATGCTCGGCAACGCCACCGATAACGCCTCCCAACGTTCCCATTCCCGACCCCCTGCCGTCGCCAACGCAGGCGGAGATCGCGACGGCCGTCAACAACGAGGTTGTCGCTGCCCAGTGTGCCAGCAGCGCCGCGGGAGAGGCCACGATCTGCTTCCGCGCGCAAGAGTGCCGCGTAGTCGATGTGCTGGCCGAGTTGGACAAGGGAGGCGATGCCTCGCAGCCGAGCCTGTCCGCTCTCTACGCAAGCGCGCTGAAGCACTTCAACGAAAGTGCATTCCTGTCGACGGTGCGTCAGATGCTTTTTGAGATCAACAACCCAGGTATTGCCGAGTGTGGAGGCAGCTTTACGGAACTGAACGATACGGTGGTGCGGGTAACGCAGTCGAAGGGCGCTGGCGTCGTTGATTTTATATTCCCTCAAGCACAGTCACCCGGACAGCCACGCACCCTGAACAACGCCGAAGTTCACTTCACCCTGCCTAACGTGGGACAATTCGGTAGCCTGCAGCTGCGATACCTCTTTGATTCGCAAGGTGCACTTCAATCCTCTCAGCATCACTTCCGTCCACCGAGACAGTCAAGCAGCGAATTCTTCCCATTTCCTCTGGAGAGAACAGTGAGTGTCACAAATGTATAGTTTAATCAACCTCGGGTAGAACAACTTTGGCTGTAACACCTCGCTAATACTATAGAACGGGTAATTTTAGCGACGTAAAAATCCTAGCGAATTTAGCGATCGACTCATTTTCGCTAAAGTTTCAAGTCGCTAATCCGTTGAGACATTAGTAGTGCACTGGTGATCCGTGAGTAAAATCGCTGCAAATCGCTAAAATAAAACGTCGCTAACCGGTTGACAATGGGAAAACGCTAAAATGAATAGTCGCTAAAATTACCCATTCTACAGTGACTACACTATCTTTCAAGACCCAGTACCTTTTTCTCTGCATACTGGCAGCTTCACAGATACCAACCGCTCCCGAAAAGAAAACACGTTCTCAGGTGCGATCGAGGGTAGCTATTCTCGAAATTGACTGTAGCTGCTTTTTTCCCGTGGCATCTTCACAACATCAACTCGAAATGTACGTGCATGCCCTACAGTATTAATTCAGCGGCGAATGTGATGATTTTGAAGTAAAGAAAGGGCCACGAAGGATGTACCCACTGTGCTGACAATGCTAGAAGGCCCAATATAGGAAAGTAGGCATGCTAAAAGGCATTATACTGTGATTATTCAATTGCATGCATATGCGCCTAGCATCGGATTAACAATAATGCAGTGCTTTTGTCTGCTGTTCTGTTGCGGAGCAACCAGGTTTACGAAGCGCCCGTGGAACTAAGATTTCATTTTGTTGCGCATCACAAATGACAATAACACACAGCGTGTGTCCATTGCATGCGCAATCTTCTGCCCATCTCCTTGTAGGTCTGCGAGGATTTGCCCGGAGATTGTGGAGATACGCCACCCATTATGCCGCCCAACGTGACCTCTCCGGAAGCGTTCGCCAGGCCCCGGCAAGGTGACTTGTACGTGGCGCAGATATTCGCAATGGTCGCCCAGTGCAAGGGCTCTCCACCAACGGTGCCACCCACCACATGCATCCCCGCGCAGAAGTGCAGTATGGTGGACGCGTTGGCCGGAGCATCAAGTGTCGGCAGTCTTGACACATCGGTGCTTTACGGCGCGGCGTTCAGCCTCTTAAACGAGAAGTCAATTCGGCGCTCTATCGAGGTTCTCCTGAGCGAGTTCAATGCCCCCAGTTCTGTCGCGTGCGCACGTACGTTCACGGACTTCAACAACACGGCCCTGCAGGTTACGCAGGCGGCCAGTACTGCCCGGGTGGACTTCTTCTTCCCCGCCGCCCAGGCCACCGGAGAGCTGCGCACGCTCCGCGACGCCGAGGTCCACTTCACCCTGCCGGACATGGGCGCGTTTGGCGACCTGCAGCTGCGTTTCGTGTTCGACTCGACCGGCGCTGCCCAGGCCGCCGAGCGGTTTTTCAGACCGCCAGGCCAATCCGACACTCAATTCTTCCCGTTCCCGTTGAAGAAAGCGGTGAGTGGAATCATGACCGTATACCACACTGGCTATGTGTGTAGGTTTAAAAACGTTTTTTATTGTTTATAATTGAAACCTGGTGTTTAGTACCTTTGAACAGTGGACACTCTCATACTGTAAAAGCAGAAATTCTCGGTGGTGTTTTATTTTCGGTGACTTCGGTGCCGACAAATTTTACCGAAAATGAAACGCACCGAAAATTTCGGTAATACCGATACTGTATGCATGTAGTACTAGTACACTTACCTGGATAATGGGTTTTACCGAAAATTTCCCTCTACCGAACCGCCGATTTTGGAGAATACCGTAAATATTACACAAACCGAAAATTTCTGCTGTTACAGTAACTGTGAGTAGAAGAAATCCACACAGTATGATGTACTCAGCTAAGGTGCTAGGCGTGCTCGAATGCCGTAGAGTCAGAGCATAGCAGACAGTGTGCCGGTGGAGGCATTGAAGGCAGCTCTGCTTGTCATCCTGACTGCAATCATCATACCGGCATGTATGATTTCAAAATTACTGTAAGACCAGTAATGTTAGCGAACATTTCATTCTAGCGATTTAACGGATTTAAACAATTCGTAAAACATGTTAAAGTCGTTATGCACATAACGATAATATGTACATGTACATGTACAGTCCTTTGCCGGTTTTGAGACAGAATTTCTTTAGAATTTCACCTCGATTTAACGAATTTAAACAATTCGTTAACATTTAAAGTCGAAACGATTTGTACATGTACATGTACAGTCCTTTGCCGGTTTTGAGACAGAATTTCATTAGAATTTCACCTCGCTGACCCACAAAAATCCGGAGATCGTGAGCTTTAATTGACGTTAAAATATCTGGTCTTACAGTAACCATTGCGTGCATTACGTAAGTCTGCGACACCGCACATGTGAAGTGGTGCGAACTTGATTTTACAACGCGGCCTGTTCAGCACGCGGTCGGGTACATTGGGTTGTACATGTGCATGCATGTAACTTATTAAATTTTGTGTTATTTTAGTACCATCATTCATACTCTTGCATTTACAAAAATAATATTGCAGGACAGTACTCAATCTGCGGACAGAACTGTTTCGTCCTTTGTGGACTCATCAGCGCAGCATAGAGAAAATGAGGCCGAACCTGATGGCAATGAAAAATAAATTTTCCTAAGATTTAAACCAGGCTCGGACGTACAGACATTTTTAAAATTTCCAAGCATGCCTACAAATCCGCAGAACATGCCAATATCGAATAATATGGAGTAGGCCAACATTTGAATCACGGAATGAAGGCGGTTACATTGATTAGAGGCGGCAGCGGTCGAAGAATGATAGGCCAATTCTCTCCCACAAGTTCATACTCTCTTGCACTCAGATCTATGATGGTACAAGTATTGTGAGCTACTCACTTTGGTGGTGTTTAAAAATAACTTTAAATAAACTTGAAACTCGGATGTTGAGCCATAAATCGAATGTTTCAGTACACTGTCAGTTTTGTGCCTAGTTATTGCACTTTCTGACTGTATATAGTATCATGTTACAGTGATGGATAGTTACTCTTAACTCGTATCCATATGTCCTTTTCTCTTCTACATTTAAATAAACTATAGGAGATTTTAGTAGAAGAAACCTTTGCCGCTAAACCTTGGCATCACCAATTGAGAACTATTCTATACTGTACTGTTCTTTATGCTGGGGATTGCTGCAAAGTACCATATCTTTTGAATGTATTTGGTGAGAATAATAATATTGTTAAATGTTACCGTTTGTTTGTCATGTGTACACGTGTTTTTTGTCTGTGCAGGTCTGTGAAATTGTGCCCGGGGAGTGCGCTGAATCGCCGCCAGAGGAAGCTCCGGTTGTTCCCCTTCCCGACCCGCTGCCGCAGCCAGACCTGCCCGGTCTGCTTGCGGTCGGTATCTTCTCAGCTGCCGCACACTGCCAGGCCTAAACAATGAACATTCAAATCCACTTTTAAAATATTACCACGGCAACGGCAAAAGTATGCCAGTACAGCACCCTCTAGCCCTCTCTCCCCTCCGTCCCTTGGGCTCATGAATATTCTTTCTTTCTATTTCTACATGGTTCTTCAGTCCTGGTTCAGTGGTTTTCACTCCCTCCCCCTTTGATTGGACGCTATTATGCTATGGGACATGGAGTGAATCTATACGAGAAAATAAGATGAATTAGATGATATTGGACTGACCGGAAGAAGAGAAGTGTATTCAAAACTGATTGCTAACAATAGCTTTGTACTCTGCTCCTTGCCTTCCCTCATCTCTCGAATATGCCACGGCACTCACCCGAGACATTGTGCACAGTCAGCTGACAGCTATTCCAGTAGCATATTCCTGACTGCCCGCATTAACTCATCTTTTCATTCAAGGGTGCTGGCCAACAGTCCGTCTATTCTGCTGTCTTCTCCGATCTGTCCACCCCGATCATTCCTCCGCAACACATCCACTCCAATCATTCCTTCTCATACCATCCGCGAAAGAGAGAGAGAGAGAGAGAGAGAGAGAGAGAGAGAGAGGGGGGGGGGGGGGAGACGGACGGAGAGGCTGAGAGAGATGCCAGGTAGATAGTTACGTCCTGGATTACCGAAAACCGACCTCATGGATAACAATAGAGCCGGGGACTACACGACCCTATCACCATGACCACCAACAGTGCTGCCAAACCGTCCGATTTTTGAAGGCTCTTCCGAAAACCGGTCCGAAAAAGGAAACGTCCGAAAAGCAGGCAAAAATGTCAGAGATCATTACGTTCCTATGCAGAAGTCCTGTATTTTCACTTTTCTGAGCAACTGAAGGCATAAAACACTGTACATGTGCTTCTAATAAAAAGGCTAGCAGTAGCGCTTGGTCGTGGAAGAGCAACGCAACATGCCTGGATGGCATGTACACTGTACAGTGTGTGACCACAGTCATGCATTACAAAATTCATTACAACTTCGGGGTGCCATATCGGTTACCATGGCAACGAAGCGATTTTTCATGGTATTCTGGGCGATATTTTGAATACTCTGGAAAAAATTTGCTGAGAAGAAATATTCACACCACGTGGCCTGCCTCGGCGGCGAAGGGTGTCCGATTTGGGGCGAAAATTATTTGGCAGCACTGCACCACGCACGCAACACTTGTGCACTTGAGTGCAGCACTACTGGTGATTGAATTCATGAGGTTGTACATCTGATCTCATGAATCACTTCATGAATCACATGAATTTCTTTTTCTAGTGATTATGGGTATGCACTGCATGTTACCCAGGTTACAGGAATTGAGCACGGCTGGTGCTGCGGACCCTGCACTGGGCAGTGAATGCGGCTCTGCTCTATTCCTGTGAGATTGGATTTACCGTAAATTACCGCTAGAGCACCCCAACTTGATTTTACAGCCATGGAAAGGGAAACCGTATGGCAGAGTGCAACGAAGTGTGTATGGTGTGACAACCTTAGTGTACCGAGGTCACACTGAGTGGGTTTTTGTGTGGAGCCCATGTCCGCTCGAAGGCACGGATTGACTGCAAAACGTGCAGTATGTGTACATGGTTCATGTCTTGTGACCCACAGACAGCAGACCACCTCCTCAATGCGCCCACGAAAGGAAGAGACGGTGGGGCGCTCTCGCGGTACTTTACGGTACATAAAACTGGCGACCACCACAATTACCACCACATCTCCCACTGGGAACTGCCTGCTCTTTCAAGGCCAAAAATACATGCATCCAGTAGACCTTGCTAGTTTGATTTCATATAGTCGACCAGATTTGAAATAACACCACCAGCACCACCAGTATTCGAGTGTAACAAGCGCAATGAAGAGAGCTTACAAGACACGAGTACATGACCGGCAAGAGAAAGTACACGCAGTGTTTGACACGGCAAATCCAACAAATCCGTACAACGTGTGTTCATTGACGAGGATAGCTACAGCCACTGTCATACTTCACGTATGTCCAGACCAAGAGAGCTATACTGTGGCTCGAATCATCTCTAATCATCCCTTATACTTCACATACAATGTACTCACATTGCATCCATGACTTCTATGCAAAATGCGATCTGTTCGTGCCAGTTCCGGCGCTGGTGAAGAAAGGTGGTGGCGCACGGAACGGACCTGGCTTTTCGAACCCAGGCCACTTGCCCAGCATGTTGTTCTCTCCCAGAGTCTGGTGCATCGCGAACGGATAGCCCCCTCTGTTTGGCACGGGCAGTGGCCGTGGTCCCGGGAAGCACGAATGCACCCTTCTCCTGGGCGGAGCAGGCTGTTTAGGACCGGCAGCATGCCTGGTGAATTCCTGCTCTAGTCTGCTGGTGGCACGATGCAGCGAGGCCAGTGCAGACTTCATGCCCGATTCCGTGGTGCTGCGATTGCGCAGCGTGTCTTGGTCGAACGGGTAAATCATCGCAAAGCTGCCATGCTGCAGGGTCGGGTGGTGGGCAGGCTGTCCGCGTGGCTGCCTCGGCATCATGACGGGATTGTCGAATCGAGTTGGCCGAAGGCAGACCTTCGGCGGCGGAGATTGTATCCGGCCGGGTGACACTGGTGCTGTCACGTGTGTTTGCCACTCGGGTAGCCATAGACCTTGATCTTGCGGGTGCTCGATGCTGGGAAGGTGAACGGGGCGCTTGATGGCCTTGGTGGCCTTGTAGGACGAAGACCGTCGGCGCTTGAATCTGTTTGCCTTTCGCCGGCGCGGCGGCAGAGGAGGAGGTTGAGGAGACGACGGTGTTGGCAGCAGCGGCTTCCCGCAGAACTCGTCGCCCGGCTTGAACTCCATCACTCGGATGAAGTCCTCGAGTAGAGGCACTTTCAGCGCGGTGTCGAGAGCACACGTGCGCTGCAGGGAAGGCACCAGGTTGACTTCCAACAGCCACGGCATGAGATGCTCGTCGATGAGGATATCGTAACCGAGCAGCTGCACACTGTTTGGCGCCGACGGTATGAACTTGGCCTGTTCGAGTAGAGTGCACACAACGATGCGGGAGACATGCTGCCACAGCATGCGATCGTCAATACCGTTGGCGAGAAAGTACTTCTGCAGCCGTGACAGCTTCCAGCGACAGTCATCACCCACTATGCTGCTTGGGAGTTGGCTGCCGATTGCTCGCCGGTTGATGGATGTGTTAGTTAAGTGTGCATGCACGCTCATTAGATCGTCCAGGCTGAACTTCTTCGTTGCAAACCGCACCAGACCCTCCTGGTAGATGTAAGCGCGTAGCGGTCGATAAGACGCCACTGCCACGTACAGGCGCAGGTCGAACTTGAAGCCACTGATGAGAAGGGGCCGGCAGACGTACATCTGTGCCACTACGGGGCGCACCAACGCTTGCCGAGATATCTGACTGTAGTTCAGAATAGCTATTCCTTTGCCTTGCGATGAGCTGGCCGGTTTGAGAATCCAAATTTCATCACCTTCCTTGTCCACTCGGTCATCTGCTTGCTCGAATATGCCCAAATTGCTGGCTATGGAGTCGAGGTATACGCCACCGCCAAGTGCAAAGCGCTCGTGGAACTCACGGAAATTATACGTGTCTCGCGGAAGAGCGAATGTTGGCGGAATGAATGAGAACATTATGCCATAGCGGCGTCGACACTCTGTGATGTGCACGCCAAGCTTGTCCTTGTGTGTTATGACATGCATGTCGCCGGGGAACTGGCTGATCCTCTGCCACGGCTTCAGCAGCCTGCGGTCGATGGGTGGATACGATCTGCAGTACAGCAGGTTCCAGTCCTTGCCCGGCTCATCACCATCACGCTTTCCCATCTGACCTGCACCATCCGCGCCTGCAGTAATGCTAACGCGTGCCTGATGCGACGTCAGCGTTCGCTTGCCGAAGCCTACCTTGTCCATGGCGTCCGTGAGTGAGCCGGGTATGTCCTGGCCGGCGCAGGTCAGCTCGCCCTCGACCGGCTGATACTGGCGCAGAATGGCCCGCGCCACGTCCGCCTTGCGCAGCGCCTCGTGCAGCTCCGGCCGCCGGTACACGTTGCTGTCGGGCGCCGGCAGCCAGTAGGTAACGGTGATGCCGTCGTCCATGCCCCATTGGTCCTGGCCATAGCCTGCTGTCTCGTCCACCACCCTGGTCGGCAGCAGCATTGCATCCCGTGCTCTAGTCCCATTTGCTCGCAGGGCCCTGGAGCAGGATTCAACACACCAAAAATGGTTCAGCCAGCATAACCAAACGTGTGTGAGCAGGAAGCAACACACCAAACATGGTTCAGCCAACATAACCAAACGTTTCTTATGCAGCAGGATAGAACACACGAAAAATGGTTCAGCCGACATAACCAATCGTTTCTTATCCAGCAGGATGCAACACACCAAAAATGGTTCAGCTAACGCAACCAAAGGGTTTGATACAAACATCGTGACGATAAAAATATTATAATAATGGACCACGTTGAGGGAAAAACTAGTCTGACCTTTCGAAATAGTGAAAATGTCACAAAATGGGTCCTTGGAATTTTGGCTGCAACTTGCAGCTAAGTTCAGGGCTCACCACGACCATACAAAATTCAAAAAGCGTCGACCACCATTTTGAAAACATGGCGATGCCGCCAAGGCCAGAGTTTGTGCAGTCATAGCGGCTACGCACCCGAGTTCATGCTCATCGATGTACAGCGATGTACAGTCTAGTCGTAAAATACCGGTATTTTACGACTCCCTGGTCTACTCTGTACAGCGAAGGGCCAGTGCCGAAGCGAATCTTGCTGTTTGATGTCGGGAAAGACACGCGGAGAAGACGTCCTTTCTCCAAGCCATCTTGGTCATTTTTCTCAATCCGCTGGTGGGTGTCGACCAAGATATGTCCGTGAGGTACTGGTGAACTTGAGTCCTGGCATCTACAAGAATTTGCCGCGCCTAGCTAACCAATGTTGTCAGTAGAACTCAGCGTTTCCTGATCGCGACTCGGCACACTCTTTTCTGTTTGGCCTCGCAGCTTTCACGCTGCGAGTAGGGAGTTTTCTGGTCACAAATGAATCCCTTAGTCATGACCATGATGAGAGGTGACTGGTTTGATCCCTGACTGGCATGAATCCTTAGCTTGAGTCAACACGAAGGTAAACTCTTCACTTGGAACGCTTGCTGTCTCCTCCGTCCTTTCTTGTTGCACTTGCAGATATGCGCACGGCTGCCAGTTTTTGTTGGTGCGCGCGGCAACGCACGGCCGACCTTGATGTCTTCAAAATAGTAGAACAGCGGTTCTCCTCGGCCGATTCTCACCATCGATAGCTCATTTTCAAGGTCTTGGAATTCTCTATCGGTTTACCGTCCCCGATTTCCAATTTTCTCTTCATTCACTTGTTCGCACGCCTTCGCGTTTGAATGATTTCGCCATCCGATCTCAGCCAAACGAAGGCCAAATCGAAAAATTCGAGACGGTAACCCTCCAAAGACACACCTTCTGAACACGAATCCACAATGGCCTAATGTCTAAAACCAACGAATACAGCCAAGCTCCACTCAGAAAACACCCCACAATTGCAAGAAACAGCCCGTTTTGCCGTGTGCTGATTGGTCAAATCCAAATGACCGCTATTGACGCTTTGTACGGTCGTGGTGAGCCCTGAAGTTACTTAGCATACAAACGCTGCACTCGCAACCAAAAATTCAAGGGACTTAATGTTTTTTGACTTTGTCCCCAACCATGCAAATGTATTTAACAAAGGAGGTTTCAGTCGTGACACAGCATGACATACCGTAGAATCCCGCAGATAAGCCCACCCGCGTATAAGCCCATGCCCGCGCATAAGCCCTGGGAAAGTTCGAACATCACAAGGCTTCGTCGTACAAGCCCATGGGCCTAAATTGTACCATGAGTCCATAAATTATGAACTCTTGGTCCTACCATGTACATGTATGATGATTGTACATGTACGTAGTACGAGTGTTAAGGGTTTTTTTTTTTTTTTTTTGTACATTTCAACACAATCATCGGTTGTTTTTGTTTGCACAGTGGCTTTCAGCAATGTACTTCTCACTTCATTGGCACTTTTCAATAGCACAATTTTGGTGTCGGCGTATAAGCCCATGCCCGCGTGTAAGCCCATGTTCTTGTATAAGCCCACCGAAATGTCCTTGTGAAACAGATAAGCCCATGGGCTTATCCGCGGGATTCTACGGTAATCATTCAACAAAAAAATGAACTCCAAAAAGTCCGAGGGATACTCATAACCAGGGAGTCGTAAAAGCCCGGGAGAGGACACGGATGCGCGCACGCGGACGATGTTTGCCTCGGCCAGAAAGTGAAGCACGCTAGGCCGGCGCGGCCGGATCTGCTCGATCCACGGCGCGGTGCTCGTCTTCAGGGCAGGGAGTCCTAAAATACCAATATTTTACAACTCGTTGTTGACACCATATCCGAAACTGGTGGCGAAGGAAGCATAAACATGATTGTGTGTCTGTCTGTCAGACTCAGTACACATGGTACAGGGGGTGGGGAGGCGTGTGTATGTGCACATGTGCTTGTACTTTTGTGTGTGTTTGTACAGTGTTTGTGTGTGCGCGTGTGTGCGCATTTTGTGCACAATTCCGTTATGAAGTACAAATTATAGGTTTACCTTTTGTACACTCGCCAAGACTTCGGTTAGATTCACTGAGAACCTTTCTGGCCAACCTGGAGGCTGAGCCTTCCATTTCCTAAACGGCTAAAGTCACCGCGTACTCAGTATACGAGTAGAAAAGTGTTGAAATTATCAAGATTTATAAATAACGACCTGCAACCATGTACAATGTAGATAGATAGATAGGGAACACACATTGATTGTTTTTAAAAGAATCCAGGCAATATCATGAATCATGGAACGAGTGCGTAATAATGCTCTATGTTGCGTTTTGACGATGCTGAAGGAAGGGAGCCGTTGCGATTCACTCACAACACACGCACAGAAGTCCACTCGACTGCAATTTCAGTGCAATTTCTGACACAAATTCATAACTCCACGAGTACGAGGAAGCTCAGCGGATCTCCACAAGAACTTTCGCCCATCACCTGCAATGGAATATGGGCTGTATGATACGACCAGCGACTAACACGGGAAGTGGCTTCATTTCCCACAAATCTCGTTTCATTCACAACCATTTGGCTGTAATTTCAGTGCAATTTCTGCCACAAATTCAACTCCACGAGTACGAGGAAGCTCAGCGGATCTCCACAAGAACTTTCGCCCATCAACTGCAATGGAATATGGGCTGTATGATACGACCAGCGGCTAACACGGGAAGTGGCGTCATTTTCCACAAATCTCGTTTCATTCACAACCACTTGACTGCAATTCAGTGCAATTCTGCCACAAATTCAACTCCACGAGTACGAGGAAGCTCAGCGGATCTCAACACGAACGTTCGCCCATCACCTGCAATGGAATATGGGCTGTATGATACGACCAGCGGCCAACACGGGAAGTGGCGTCATTTTCCACAAATCTCATTTCGTTCACCCCAACTCAAATAAAATTGAAGTACAATTAGGGATTTATCTTGCATTTCCATCGCCTCGGAATAATTAACTTCGATAAACTGAGAGAGAATGAGTGAAGCAGCTGGAAGAATTGAGGATGAAAATAGAGATCAGAAGACTCGACGGAGCAATCGTCTCCGTGCTCTAAGAGAAATCGGAGAATGTCCCAATTAGTATTTCAAGAAGACATCACAATTTTCGAAAATAATAATGTCCTTGCCTCGCAACACCGTTCCCTGGCAGCGTTCCCCGGCAGCGCGAGGCAAAGATGTTTTCTGGGAATGTGTGCCGTGTCCTCTCCCGGGCTTTTACGACTCCCTAGGCCCTGCTCATAACTGACTGCCCGAACAGCCGTGTGTGCAGTTTTGCCGCTACACGAGATATCCGATCCAAGCAGCCATTAGATGGAACACAGCCACAGGCTAATACAGTAATAGCAATAATCTTTTCAGTGCTTACTTTGTCAGTGACATGTTGACGGTCGATTTGTCGACTGTTGACCGACAGCGGGTAAACTTAGATTCCGGGTAGCGACTTGCTGTCCTAGCCGATGTTAGCTTCGGAGCTCCGATCCGAGCAAGTAATATTGGCTCTGCTTTCTCCACGTAGGACCACCGTCAATCTAGTCCGCTAGCCGCTATCGAATCGAATTTCCTGCTACGTACTCTATATTACTGCTTTCTTGTCTCAGCAAGAGTGTACAAGCGGCCGGATAACCATGCCGGAGGCGGAGAGAAATCTTTGCGGGCATGCAAGGGATTTTTAGGAAATCGAAATAGTCCATCGGCCAAGTCTCAAAATCGAAAGTGGTGATGCACTGAGCTTCCAACTAAACGCGACCATACCCAGCACGTAGAGAATATATCAGAGAACACTATTCCGTTTGTTGGACGTGCCGAATTCAGTCCAGGGCGTCGATACGAAGCGTTCTTCGTCGCCGAGTTTTTTACTGTGCGCTCCATTTGAGAGTGCGCAGAGTTCTGATCGAGAGTTTTTTGAGCAGATTTTCAAATTTTTGAGGCTGTCAGCTGACAGCTGTCAACCCTAAATCGCACTTAGTATGTGACAGGCAATAGGTTTTGGTGCCTCCGTATGCCTTCTAATAAGTTCTATCTTCCTTCGTTTCAATTCGCTGCTTCGCCCACCACCTCAGGAGGTGACAGCGTACCTGCACTAGTCAGCTCTCGCTAACCCTGTCTCTCTTTCTCCGTCTTAGCGCTCGTCATTCGTGTCCTTCTGCTGGGGCGAGCTTGATACTGTTGTGTCGTAGTTTTTAGGCAATAGTGGCTGTTGTTCGCGTGACGATCAGGATTTATGGAGAAAGACGACGACTCGCCAAGTTCCCATGCAGCCACAGACGGCGTAGCAATTCTTACCGCCAACCCTTCGAGCAACGGAACCGGCCTGAGTTGGAAATCGTGTCTGTGTAATTGTGCCACGATACGGATGAAACACACAGGCTCACATGTGACGAGATGAAGATAATCTCAACAGGCTGACAGAAATCCAACAGGCTCACGGGAACGCTGCAGTTATGGTCGGAGACGCGGAGTTATTTAGTCACTGGTAAATGTTGCATCGAGTGCTGTGTGCTCTAACACAATTGTAAAAATCATGAAAAAGCGAAAATAATGCAATGGTGGGGCTGAGTGGTGTTCTTTGGAGGAGACGTCGCTGTCTCAGTATTCAACGCCGGACCCTGTATTTCAAGTCTGTGGTCATGCTCGATCATAAGTTCCTGTATGGCTCCAGTGCCTTCTCAGCATTGTTGGCGGGTAAGCACCTGGATCGTGTCCAAGTACTGCGGCTCTGGTGGCTTGAGGGATGTACGGGTGCTCGCCGTGCACCCCTGCCGGCAATCTGCTAGTGAAGCTTGGTACCTACTGTGTCTGGGAGATTTTCATCCAGAAGCTGATCTTCCTAGGCTGGAGCTGCTGCTACTCCTGTGCTAGCCCTCAACCACTAGCGCTCCTACTCGGCTCCAGTGTGGGCCATTAACCACCCTGCCCGATTTCGCACTGTTGCTATTCCACACCGTCAGCATTTAACTCTGAGGTCAGACCTTGATCCCTCCCACCATATGCTATCTGTCTGTCTGCCTCTCTTTCACACACAGATGTGCGCGCATACACACACACATGCACACACAGTGACACAAACATACACATAGCCAACTTCTCTGTGTTTGGTGATCATCATCTGTTTTCTGATGTGCAAGATCACCTCTGATGCCGATTACTTCCTTGCTTAGACCCGGTCTGCTATTAGACCAGTCTGCTCTCCCTTCACTCGCTTGTAAATCCTACTTGGAGCAATAAGGTTGTGTCACTGCTCCTACTGATGTCATTGTTGTGAAAGCAATATGATCGCCATTGGTGGTAATTTTCCACCGTGCATGAATCATTAACAATCATCATCTATGTGTCACGGCCTAACCATCCTCGTAACTCCCCTCATCGTGACTAGTGCTGTACCGTTGAAACCTACTTTGCTTCAGTGTATATTCGCTCCAAAGCTCTTGTTTTGTTGCATAGTGATCTGACGCAGTGTGCTATAGCCTATCGGGTAATATGGATAAGATTAGTACAGTCGGCATCGCCTATCGAGTGACCAGGTACATGTATAAGGATACTACATGTATACCGGCTTAACGATATCGGAACACAAATAGCACTATGTGTGCAATATTCCTTTCTAAGCTCACGCTGTGCGGTGCAGATAGGTCATGTGTCGTTGCCAACTTGCCGCATGTGCATGTGCAGCAGGAAGACACCACATGTCGACTACTACTTATACTGTACAGCATTGTGTGCTTACATGCATCTACGGCCTTGTGGATGCAATTGAGTCTCACACACATGTACATGAAATATTGCGTGTAGTGTGGCATCAGTTAACATACAGTGGCTAAATATTTTTCTCGCAATAATGACCGTATTCACCACAAGTGTGTTTATGTCCAGAGCCAACTCAAGTCCTGTATTATTTATGACCATGACAACAAGACTTCCGGGCAGAAATTCTTCTATGACAGGCATGAACACTTGCCTTACAATTGTTCGTGATTGTACGAAGTACATATTCGCTGTTGCATCAATTTTGCACCATTTACATTGTAGTGCCACTAGTGGTATCACCTGCATGCGTATTGAGTCAAACAAGGTTACCTCTGTATAATTATGCTTATCGTGGCTATCAAGAGCTTCGATGCAAATTCCCAGCTGACGAATGGTGTCCAGCTTGTGTTCAGCTCAGCTGGCACTCACAACTCATAATAATTGCGTTCTAGACGCCAGATGAGATGTTTCAGCTACAATGTAGACACAACGTCCGTGTTCAAGAAAGCCGTCACTTCATCTTCTGTCCATCCTCAATAGCACGTTCAAGCAAATACATCTGAAACACAGTAGCGACAATCCGACAGCGGCGACACGCCGTCTTCTCCGAATGAGCTTCTACTGTTCTCATTCAGATTCCCCCAAAAATGTCAAAATAAATAATAGATTTCCACCAAGGTCGCTAGAATCTTGCGAACCGTCAACATGCAGGCATTTCAAGTGTTCGATCGTGCGTAGATTCTGCTCAGCGGCTCAAGAACATTCGCCAAGCGAAAAAAAGTCGATGAGAAAGATGTAATGGTGGACGAAATTACGAAAATCGGAAGAAGGTATTCGACCCAGTTCGACTATCCTGGACTGGATTGGCAACGTCCAACAAACGGATTCGTATTCTATGGGGTCTCATGAGCTAGTGTGCCAAAGGGCGTTTAGTTGGAGCTTCAGTGCATCACCTTCGCCGAAAGAGGCCCTTTCTGAGATTTGGCCGATGGACTAAAATGATTATGTGCGCGTTATCATTAGTGGTGTGCACGGCCGGGTAGTCGGGTAGGTCTACCCTTGCTCCCCGTGAGGACCTCGGCCGTCGGGTACAGAATCGTACCCGAAAACCCGAAGTCGCAGATGACATCATGTAGAAAGAGTAGACAGAGAGAGGTCTACAGTGCACGTGTACAAATAACTCACGCATGTCTACCCAGTGTGTAACATGTAAGTGAAGGGGCTGGTGTGCATTGTGGTCTTACCATGGAAACATAACCCGATCGGGTAGATCTACCCGCGCTACCCGTGGAAAACTACCCGGACCCGATACCCGAAGAAAATGCTACCCGGCTCAGCCCTAGTTATCATGTAGACCTCTCTCTCTCTATCGCTCGACACTTGACTGACTTAGAGAGAGAGCTCTACATGATAAGGCGCATATTTCCTAAAAATCCCTTGCATGCCCGCAAAGATTTCTCTCCGCCTCCGGCATGGTTATCCGGCCGCTTGTACTGGTATGTGTGGTCAACGACGGACTTGTTGGCGGCTGACCTACCCAAGACTGGCGATAGATAGAGCTTTCCATCCGTTCAACGAAGAACCAGTCTTGTCCATCGAGCTGAGCTGCACTGCGGTCTGCAGTGGCGCTACCATGGCTACAGTACTCGTAGAATCTACACCACCCTCCACAACCACATGTCCGCAGATCAACACCGTAAGTATTAGTTCGCGTAACCAAATCAACACCAGTCCTACTCTGGCTACACAGTATACATGGTATAGTACAGCCCCTTTCAACGATGCCTGCTTCTGTGGTGTGTGATCGCAAACAACAACAGTACTCAGCACTGTCTGTAGTGTAGGCTGTAGGGCCCAGTCAGTCATCATGGTCATCCGATCATGTAGCAGGTTTGCTGAAGCCATGATAAGGAATGAAGGCAGCAGAACTGAGCAGATGCGTGCACAACTGCACAATCACCATAATGCATGCTGATGGTCGATGGTCCGTCGACGTCACGTCCACACTCATACTTTGTCTTGTTGCCATTCGTGTGTCTGCTCCGGAACTATGGAAGGCGAGAGAGACTCAAGAGAGGTTATACGTTACCTGTTCGCGGACGAACTACATGGGGAAATGGGTATTCTCCATTGAAAGGCCTGCGTTCATTGGGTTTACCTTGGCTATGCACTATAATGTGAACCGTGATCATGGTGATAGTACTTAGTAGTGATGGTCATTGGTGATGTGTAATGAAGTTCTTCGTTGTCGTGTTTCGCAATAAAAGCGACAAAACGTCAAGTCAAAGCAAGTAATGTCATGTAGTTGCTCAGTCATCGAATCAGTTACACATCTGACAGACTAGACTATTCGTTGATTCTACACAACACTCAACAGTCACTGAGTCAGTACTAGTAGAGCTAGAAGCAGGAGTCAGAGAGCGCCATGGACGACACTTGCGCACTCACGTCACCACAGCCAGGGCGCAATCCATATCCACTGACGGTGACACACTTTGCCTTTGATCTGAGCCTGAGCTTCAGTTTGAAGTCTTTGCCCCTGGCTGGTTCTTCTGTCGCCCATGACTTTTGCCACAATCCTTTTTTCTTTTCTTTCGCAGCAGTTGCTAAAACAAACGACGTTGTTGTACCTGCGAAGTGGAAGGCCGTCGTCTGTTCTTCTTGTCCGCTAAACCATTCATTGGGCACTGACCTGTGAGTAAGGGTCGTGACACGCGCGATCGCCAGCTGGTTGGGCAACTGGCCTCAACGCTCATGTTGGAGAGAGATTTTCCCCTTTCAAGCGTGCTTTCTCGTACTCTAAACTAACTACGTTTTTGGGAAATAGCGAGCTAGGAGCACTTCTGCCACTTCGAATCCGCGATCCAAGATAGACTTGGCCGCGAATCATTCTATTTGTAGCTTTGTGGTAGCGGACAGCAGGGATGCCTGCAGGCGGCAAGAAAGGACGCTATGCAAGAGTTCCAACGGTAGAGTACCCTCCTCAGGCTGGAGAGTTGCACGGACATCGGCTCGATGATGGCGCCGACCTGGAAATGAAAGAACTTCACGTTGATGCAGATGCCGATGACGACCACGCCGAGCCTCCAGTGGCCGGCGACTCGTGGGATCTGCTTCGTAAATCGCGCGACAAGTCCGCAGGAGAGGCTCCAATCTATCCCACGGCGCCGCCAAAGAAAGGAAACTGCAAACTAGCTGCCGCACTGCTCACGGTTATTGTCGCTGGGGCATTCCTGGCCATCCAGATCTGGGCTATTTATCACGAGAAGGCCGATGGTGGAAATACCAAGAACAATGCCACGAGCAGCAGCAGCACAGGTCCTGTAATTAGCCCGACCAGCACAAGTGCGAACGAAGGGCTTAGCCAAAGCCCCTTTCTCCTCAGTGGCCCGTTGAGACAGGGGCTCTCGAAGTCGAAGTGTCAGAGTGCGGAGTACGTGCAACGCGTACAATCCCTGTACAGCGGCAGCAGTAACGGCCGAGACATCAGCTGGTCCACCACGCCGCATCCCGGTCTGCTCTCGGAGAGTGCGGTGCGGCTGATCGATGTCAACCAAGATGGCGTGCTGGACATGATTGTTGGTGTTGGACTCATGGGTAACGATGTACTGATGCCGGAGAGCAATGCGTCGTGTCCAATACTGGGATTGAATCCTTGCGGAGGCGCCGTATTCGCGCTGGACGGCCGAAGCGGGGATACGATTTGGAAGCACGGGATGAAACAGGAGGTTTTCTCCGTCATCTGCGGCCTCCTGGATGGAAACGGCGACGGGCAAATGGATTGCCTGTTGTCCGGGCGCTTCTCGCAGCTGGAGCTGATCGACGCACGCACTGGCAACACGCTGTGGAGCTCCTTCGACTACCTGGGCGCGTTCAAGATCTCCAACCTCTACATGCCGAGCGTGGTGGACGACGTGGATGACGATGGCGTGTCTGACGTGGTGGTGGCGCAAGGCGGGGACTCGCGCGCCTCGCCCTGGGAGGTGTGCCGTCATCCCGGCGACGTCCGCGTCATCTCCGGCGCCACCGGCCGCCCGATCGGCGAGGGCATATCGGTACCGGAGGGTCGCGAGACCTACATGTCACCGGTGGTGTTCACACCGCCCAGCGGCGAGCGCATCGTGCTCTTCGGCAGCGGCGGAGAGTCGATCAACGGCTCTCTGTGGGCAATTCGCCTCAAGGACCTCGTGTCCAGGTCGCGCGGAAAACGCGTGAAGAAGTGGTCGTGGCTGGGCAAGCAGTCGGAGGACGCGGTCAGCCCGGGCGCGGTGCGCGTGATCGAGGGCGTCGGCCGCGGCGTTGCCGTGCCGCCCATCTTTGCCGAGATGACGGGCGACGACCAGCAGGACATCCTGGTGTCGGTGTTCGACGGCACACTCATGCTGATCGATGGCAAGACGGAGAAGGTTGTGTGGAAGCGTACTAGTCCAGGGTATGAGTTCTACAGGTAAGACCTTTGTTTGGTTGTTTTTGATTTACTAGTAGTTTAGTTCGTTGCCTCAACAGTACCATGCACAACTTTAAAGTGGGTCGAACAGGAAACACAATACATGTACAGGTCGTCCCTCGTTAATACATAATCTCTGGGACTTGAGAAATGTTATGTATTAACGGGGTTATGTACTAAACGAAAGTGTACGTAACTTGCTTGTGTACCAGAAATTTTCACTTTTTTCAACTGTTCTGAGTGTTTCTGGCTACCATGGCTAGGGAGTGAGATATTCTTGATTCCCTCGATATAACATAAAAAATTATGTTATAACGGTCACAGTCAGCAAAGATTCTACAGTTTACGTGATACACGTCCAGCCGCGCCTGTACAGTCACTCGGAAAAACAGAGCTTTGTCGGTTTGTGATGTGCGCTCTGATTTCTGAGCAAATTGCGTCCACAATTAGGCCAAAAGACCAACCAATTATGTACTATTAAGGTAGGTGGCATGCGGGTACGGAGAAATGTTATGTACTAACGGGGTTTATGTACTAACCGGACTCGTATTAACGGGGGACGACCTGTGTAACTGAGGGGCATCAGAAAGGGACGTGCTATGCACTTCAAATATAGAGCTGCTCAAAGGAAGCCGGTCGCGTGAGTAAGGTTTGCGCCTTGCACCATTCCGTAGCCCACCTGTTCGCAGGTCTAGGGCTGCGCAACGCCCGGGGCGCACTAGAGCGACTCGACTAGATTTCATTGAGCAGTACTACTGTACTTCCTATGGAAAGTACACTTTGCTGTGAAGGTTGATGCCTTCTGTGACTCAGACCACTGAATGCATCAAAATATGAGTTCTTATTACTGGAGATTGGCAAGATGAATTTCGCATTCGAGTTGGCACTCCAATGATGGATGAACTCAGTGATGAAACTCACATTGTGGTGAGCATTAGCAAGCAGTGTGTAATTGTCACCGGCAATTGCGGTGCTATTGCTGAAATGTGACTCTTCTGTGTGTGTGTGTGTGTGTGTGTGTGTGTGTGTGTGTGTGTGTGTGTGTGTGTGTGTGTGTGTACTTGCTGCATGCACGCAGCTCCCCCACCATTGGCCGCTTCAACAACGACTCGACGCCGGACGTGCTGGTGCAGATGAACCAGGGCCAGTGGTTCACGATGAGCTACAACCATTCAGTCATGCTGATGCTGGACGGGCGCACCGGTGAGGTGCTGTGGCAGATGAGAACGGTGATCGCCGGCACCCGATCGCCGTTGGTGCTTCGGCGCGGCGCCGACGACCCGCGCGGCGACGTCTTCCTCTTCTGGATAGCCGGCAGACGGGTGTGGAAGGGCACGAAGATCATTGCTGACGACTGCGCCGCTTGTCCGAACGACGGCAGTAAGAAGAGGAAAAGGCGAAACGCTGGTGTTGCTGCCGATAGAGGTCGGCGTGGAGCTGTGGACACATCGGCCGGCATGGGACAGTTTGTGGCCGAGCACGAGGAGCATCGGCGCGACAAACGACACGCCGGGCATCAGGACGAGTCGTACGTGCCCCCGGACGGCGTGACGTGCACCGCCGAGCAGAGGCGAGAAGGCCAGCGCATCCGCAACATCTCCTTCGCCACCGTCGCCACCACCGCCAAGGAAAGGGGAGTTGGCTACAGGCAGGCCGGGTGCGACGTGGACGAGAGCGTGTACGACTTTGAGACGTTCGTCGTGGACCATGATCACCGGTGCAGTCCAATCAGACTGGACGACTTCACGCAGAAAAGCATCACTTACGGTTAGTGCGCATGAAACGATCGGGTGCTGACCAAAGGGGAATAGGAATTAGGCCGCTTGGATGGGTCTAGTTGCACGGATTGCTGTAAACAAATTAAACGCTGCTTCGCTCAAGGACTGTGTAAGCACATGCATTACACCACCGTAACCATGGTAAATTGTAGTACTAAATTCCCTTGTGCAAGCTAGTCTTCTATGGTCCCGGATGTGTCGACTCGACAGAGCTGTGTTTTTGAAGACTGAGCTTTCTCCTCATTTACTTTAAAAGTAAATGAAGAGAATTCTTAGTGTAAAATAGAAGATAACACGTGGGAGCGAGTTATGAAGCAACTGTATCTGAGTTAGAATGCTTAGTCCACAATATAGAACTTTTTAGTATGCCGAATGATCGTAGTAATACATGAAACTCAGAGTTGCGACACAGCTTCCAATCTCTCTCTTTTGTAGAATACACTAAAACTCCTCTTTTGTAATGCAGTCCACTGGGGGGGGGGGGGGGGGGGGGGGGGGGTAGCAACCGTTGTGAGTTCCCTGAGAACGGACACGAAAATATACTCCTTTTCTATGCTGGAAGGGGTTGTCAACACATCTCTGTGCACAAAATTAGAGCACCCCGTGTGTGTGCATTTGGCCTTGTTTGACCGGCAGGTGCTGTCAAGAAGATGTACCAGCATGATCCGACCTGGCGGACGTACGTTCAGCTGATGAAGGAGCAGCGCCATAAGCAGCAGCACGAGGATGATCACTCTGCATCGCAGCAACAGGAGAACACTGAATTGCAGTTCGAGCAGGAGAACGCTGAATCACAAGAGAACACTGGGTCGCAGCCTGCACAGGAGAACACTGAGTCGCAGTTAGATCGGGAAGAGTCCGAGTCGCGACCGGCTCGCCATAGTGAGGACGAGCACGTCGAGGAAGAGAACGATATCGAGCATGTGGACATGATAGCGTCTATGGACGCCAGGACGAATTTCGCCACAGTTCCCAGCGATGACCCACGCTTGTGTGCCATGATGCGTCCGCAGCTGATGGGCTCGGCAGCGCTGGGCGATTTGGACCGAGACGGTAGGTATGAAGTACTGATGCCGACAAGCCACCTTGCCATGGTCATCGACAAGCGCGGTAGCTATGTGCGCAACGAGGGCATGACATCATTCCAGGCGCGTTCCCTCTTCCACGGCGGTAAGATGACGATGATGAGTCACTGTGATCCCGGCGGCAAGGGAAGGGAAATCCCCCTCGACGATCCCGCCATGATTCACGTCGACAGTATCAAGCCGGCGTGGGCACAGCCATGGCAGGGTTACCACGGCACATGCGGGACGAGCGACGCTTCTTCCCTGCCCTGCTGTGACTCAGTGTGATTGCGAAGTCGGATCATCACTGACACGCTGCTGCGGTTACTTGCGCATTGCAGTGTCAGAGATCGACGCTTCTTCCCTGCCCTGCTGTGAATCTGTGTGATTGCGAGTCGGATCATCACTGACAAGCTGCAGCGGCTACTTGCGCATTGCCGTGTCAGAGAGCCACGCTTTATATTGTAAAGAGTGCATAACCACCTCTTGATAATGATGACAGCCGGGCAGAGATGCTCTCCGTGACGTTGAGAGCAAGGAACAACGACTGTCTTCCGCTGTGCAGCCGCTGTATGTCACTTGAACATGATGAGAGTGCACACTTCTTGAAAGCGGTGCATAGAGTACATGCCTTCGAATGACACACTTGCTTTTGACTATTGATTATATTCGGTGGATTTTTTCCTACATTTCATGAATTTTATGAAGGTTCAGATTGTGAAATTTTATCCTAAAAATAAAAACTACACAAAAAAAGTGAAAACGGTATCACAGCCAGGTAGAGTGGAAGTAGAGAGCACCAGATTCAAGTCCTGCTTGGAAAGGGAAGGAGTTTTCTAACCATACGTGCTGAGACCCAGAGGTTATTGGAAACTCGTGGCACAACATGGATGCAGTGCGTATGGTGTTCTGTCTTTGACCACTTTGTGGCGGGTCAGATTTATTCGTAGTACACTCAGACCTCGCTTATCCGGTCCTCCTTTATCCGGATCCCTCGCAAATCCGGAAGAAAATCATTGGTTACCGATTTACAGCATAATTATGTCATGCATACATACAGTATGTGCGTTCGGTTATCCGGTTCCCTCGTCTATCCGGATATTTTTGTGGAAAACGGATGTGTGCGGTTATGCGAGGTCTGACTGTGCGTACTTTGAGTGCACTGTCCAAGATACTGCACACGCATTGTGACGTAATGGTTGTAGAGAAAATCATGCTACATACAACAGTCACGTGATTACACATGGTCCAGCGGATGTTCTGATGCACAGTATTTTCATTGTAGCAATACTGTATACACCAGGGAGTCGTAAAATACCGGTATTTTACGACTCCCTGGTGTACACGCTGCCATTTTTGTATTGCCAGCCACATCTCAACAAGTGCCCATAAGGCCATGGTAAAAATTATCTTTGATTCTCAAGTACGCGCGCACCGATTTTTGGCGGCGCACCGATTTTTGGCGGCGCACCGACGATTTTTTTTATTTCTATGCATGCATATGCGCATATGCGCACATGAAAACGGTCAATGCGAAACAAATGGAAAGGCATGAATCAGGGAGTAGTAAAATACCGGTATTTATCTACTCCCTGGCCTGAATAATAAAATAATTATATGAACCTGTGACGTACATACATAGTGTGTGACCCTATCTTCGGAAATAAAAAATTATGGGAAATAAAATAAAAAATCGCTCGCTCGCACCGATTTTCACAGGCTCATGACCTGAGAATCAACTTTATTTTTTACCATGGCCTAAATACGGCGTACACTCCCATCCCGACATAAACACGTCATGGAACACACTGGGGAATTTCCCACGGATGCTGCGTCCCAGTCTCCTCAGACATTCGACATCAGTTGACTGCGTGCCAAGACCGATGATCTGACAAAACATACTGGCAAGGATTACTAGTACTTTCTTTAGGATGTGGGCTACTACCAGGGAGTCGTAAAATACCGGTATTTTACGACTCCCTGACTACTACGGATCGATGGACGCTGGAAACTAAAACCAACATAGGTTACTGGTACATGTGCATGCACCAGCCACGACAAAAAAAAACAGTCGAGCAGCTCAATCCGGTGCTTGGCAACAGGTCCAGCTACGCATACACACACACACACACACCCACACGCGTGCACCCACACACACACGCGGGCACGCACACACACACACACACACACACATATAAAACACACACACAATCAAATGCACACAGTGGTTGCAGAGAGCATTGCAACGAAACTCTGACGTAACAAGTAGCCATAACGAGCAGGTGAAACCATATGAACGACAGAAAGAACTAAAAAAAAGCAAGTAAAAATAACACCAGGTACAGGACAACAACGCACAATAAAGCTGAGATCGGAGCATGCGTAGAGAGGATAAAACACACCCAAACAGGTACCACCAAACAAAAACAGCAATGGAAACATGGACCGGGTTAGAAAATATTTTTTAAAGAAAAAGAAGGCCAGAGAGTGCCGCACACTTACACGTACACAACGGATGAACGTGCTATAACAGCAGTATACTACTACTACTACTTGCATACACTACACAGAATAGACACAGACAGCACTAAAAATAATTAAAAATATAAACAGCCAGCTGTCTGGAAAAAAGGAACTGTTGACAAGTTGAGAGAAAAGCAACAAAAAATGTGTTCTGAACAAAAGGTATACGGCAAGTAGTGAGTATCCTCACCGCAGACAACTACTTCCACGACGACCGCTATCATATCCAGGCAAATAAAATTCCGCACCAGTCATAGTCATTGCTTAGAGGCAGCCTGCTTGAGCTGAGACCAGAAAAGGTACTCGGAGCGCAGGGCCTCCCGCCTAGCCAGCCTATTGGCTCGCCGACATGCTGTTGTGCGCAGCACGCCACTGTCCTTATGCTTGAGACCAAAGGACAAGTAGCGCTGTGCACGGCGAATTTTATAAACCAGGTCACTAGACTCGTCCTCATCCGAGCTGGTCATGAGCTCTTGAGGTATATCAGAACTGTCGGGCACATGCATAGCTGCAGACGACAGCTCCGATTTAATCAGCACATCATTTGAGGACACCTCTGATTTACCCAACACAACGTCCGAGGGCAGATTTGATTTACTCAGCACAGCGTCCAATGGCGCCTTAGATTTATTCAGCACAGCTTCTGAGCGCGGCTTTGATTTATTCAGCACAGCGCCGGAGGACAGAACTCCATTTCGGCTCTGCCGTTTACGCTGCGTGCTATGACGAAGATCTGCATCATGTGATACCGATGACCGAGCTGAGGGCGCAGGTGGAGAACGATTCCCGGCTAACACCACGGCAGGCGGGTTCCGTTCGCTCGTGCCAACTAGGACGGGTTGCGAGCCTCCATCAGGGACTACGCCGGCACCGGCGTACTGCTGTGACTCCAAACTCTGAGCATCAAACGGGTTGGAATCTGGTTCGGCTGAGCCACTCCGGTCGCGAAGACTGGCGGCTGAGTGAGAAGAGGTGCGTTCGGCAGTGGACGCCCCACTGCTGACAAGAACGTCTGCACTGTTGCCGGACGCGTTGTGATCGACAGCGCGCGCAAACGCCGGCACTGCGCTGCCCATCAGGGAGAAGTGCCGTCCGTCGAACGGGTTGCTGCCCAGCACTGCCCGGCTGCCATTGCCATCATCACCATCATCATCACCCTCATCACCAGCCTCACAGCTATCCGGCACAAGGTCAGACTCCACGTCCACATCCATGACTTCTTCTTGGTGCGAGATACTTTCTTCAGCAGGTGCACCACCGCCAGCAGCAGCAGCAGCAGTGGCTGGCACTACGCTGGTGATTTCCAGTGAAGACTGGACTATCTCGGGCGAGTCTGGGACAGTAGCGGACGCACCGGACGAGAAGAGGACGGGCGTACTCCGACTACTAGCTTTGGCGTCGGTCTTCGTACCACTCGCCGGCAAGTCCCTTGCAGAAACCGCCCTACCACTGGACTGTGCCTGTTCAGTGTTCTTCTGGGGTGTAGGGCGCTTAAGTGGGGAGCGGCTATTGTGATGAGGCAGCCTTTTCAATGAGCTCACGGCCGGAGGCGCACTGCTTCTCTCGTCATTGTCGGAGGAGTCTGAATCAATGAGATGACGACGGGCACTAGCCTCAGTGCGCGCTGCCGCGCCAAGCCTCGCCTCACTAGCGCGGACTCTCTCCTGGGTCAGCTCCTTTTCCTCCCGCCGCCGTTTCGCTCTGCGGTACGTCGGGCGCACCGGCAGCTGCGGCAGCTTCTGGCTGGGCGAGTCGAGCAGATTGGATGGGAAGCGTGTGTCGGCGCACTTCGGGACCAGGGGTGAGTCGTGCTCGCTTGCCGTCTGGTATTTGCTACTGCTGGTGGCGTCGCTGGTGTCCGTGTCCTGCACTGCCACGGCGGTGGCAACACACTCCATCATGGTCGGACTGCACTGCAGCTGGGTGCAGAGCGGCACCGACACGCACTGGGCGGCCGTCACCGTCGCCGCCGACGACGCCGCCGACGACGCCGCCGTGGTGATCACCACCGAGCCGCTGCTGGACGTCACGCTGCCGAGGTCCACCAGCTCCTGGTGCTGCTGCGCGCAGCCGTCCACGCTGTCGCCGGGCCGCAGGGGCTGCGACTGCGACGACATCATCAGCGACGCATCGCCCACCGTGCCGAGTGCCGCAGTACTACTACTAACGCCGGCGGTGGTAGCAGTTCTGGATCCAACAGCAGCAGCACTGGGCGGCGTCAGAGAGAACATCTCAACCGGCAGCACGACGATGCGACCTTGTGGCGATCCGCGGGCAGTGTCCTGCCGCGGTGCAAAGTGCCGAGCCGTCGAGGCCGCGTTCTCCGCGCCAGCAGAGACGAGCAGACTGCCCGCATCGACACCCTCGCTATCGTCAGCCATTGCCTGCGAGAGGCTTGGTATGCTGCACGGCACATCCGGCGGCGCGGCGCTGTTCAACATGCTCTCCTCTTGCGGGTGGATGGCGAATGAGGCGGCGCGCAGCACGTTCAAATTCCACTCCGGCTCGGGGTCCGTCTGGGACGGCCCGCGATCAAGATCCACGAGCAAGGCCGTGTTGTCCGAAGCAATCTCATCAACCTGCTGCTGTTGATTGTACTGTCCAAGCAGAATACTTTTACCAGCCTTGCTATCCTCAATGAACTCAGGTCCCCCAATGGGAGTGAGCTTTTCTGACGTGACGATTTCCAACTTGTCAATAACAACGACAAAGCTGCTGTCTCTCGGAGTTGACTGCCTGCAGAATTCGATACGGAACGATTTCAGTCGGATTATGAAGCCCTTCAGCTTCGGCAGTGAGAACGGCTGTGGGACTGCGCATTCTGGATCATCACGTAAGATCTGCTCCGCTTCGGACGTGATTATGCCCAAGATGGTGTATTGTGCGTCATTCAAGTGGCACTGGCAGCCTGCAGGGAGACGAGGGTCTGGCTGTTTCAACGCTTCCAGAAATTGAGCTCGAGGACTGCTCGTTCGTTGTCGCCGGCGATGCCGAGTGGAAGTGTAGTCCTCCTCGAACTGACAGCGCAGCCTGTCCAATATCCACGGGTCAATGGAGATGGCCATTGCAATGCTACAAAACAAAATAGAGCTACAAGTAGCAGGGCTGTCGGCAACATTCAGAAAACAAGCTACAAGTTAGTTGTATGTTGTAGACGCCAAATGCAAATATTTTTATTCTTGCAACTTTTCTTATTTCGACTTCGGGATCATGTTTCAGTATTAGTTCGTTTTCCCGCGGTTTCCCTTTTTTGACGTCACTGTGAACGTAATAATGACGTAACTGATGGTGTGGAAATTTAACTGTGGAGGTCGACGACTCGATCGAGTGTGGATTCAAAATCACCACAATCAATGAACATACATGTACTCAAAATAAAGCCTGAATCTGAATCTTGAACTTTATTTCGGTGCCCCTGGCGTGCCATTGTAAAGCTATAAAATATCTGTTACTTACTTAGCCCAGGTCTTCCCACCGGTCCTATTGTTATTGATCAGTGTTTGATCGAAACATTCGGAGACCATTCATTGCACGTAGCAAGATATGAAATTATAAAAATAATAATACATGTACATTGGTAGAATTTGAAAACCTTTTGGATGACAATGAAGGAAATGCTGATACATGTATTGAGAGATTCAGGATTCTTCTGGGCCGCGATGCTCGCAGTCGCTGCAGTGCATGCAGCAGGTGTACCAGCTGTGGCTAGCTCTTCAGCGGACGTGGTGAAGGTTGGCGTGATCGGTGGTGGCCTGGGCGGATCGTCAGCGGCGTATTTCTTGCGCGACGCGTGGAAAGACCCGAATCGCACACTGGACATCACGTTCGTGACTGACAACACCACTGGGCGCACTCGCTCTGTAGGAGTCGGTGGCCAGATGTTTGAAGAGGGCGGGTCGGTGATCCACCCTAAAAACCTGTACATGAAGGCCTTTGTGGAACGGGTGGCACACACGTCTGAACTGACCGGCGGAGAGGGCAACGGCTTCACGGGCATTATAGAGAAAGAGGGTTTCTTCTTCTTCACGACAGACCACCCTCTAGAGGATAAGCTCCGGCTTGCAATGCGCTATGGTCTATCAATACTCAGGATCGAGGAAATTGTCGACAAGATGCTGAAGCGCTTTGAGAGCATCTACGGCCTGCAGGATTCCGGGAAGGCCTTCAAGACCGTAGCGGACATGCTGAACGCAATGGATCCGAGCGGCGACTTCCTCAACATGACGCGCATGTCCGGCCGAGACTACATGAAAGCGCACCACATCTCGGACGAGGCCATCAGGGAGCTGGTCAGCGTGGCCACGCGTATAAACTACAACCAGGATCCGGACGAGATGACGGCATTCCCGACCTTGGTGTCGCTGGCGGGCTCGCAGGACGGCCTGTTCTCCGTCAAGGGCGGCAACTGCCGGGTCGCCGAGGGTTTGCGGAACATGTCAGGTGCCGGTAGCCCGACCGGCAGCTTCGTGACGTCCATCCAACGCATCGCCAACGGTGCTGCTGGTTCTAAGCCCGTGTACAACGTCACGACGCGGGATCTGGCAACCAACGCGCTGAGCTCCACCATATTCGATGCGTTGGTGCTGGCCACGCCGCTGCAGGATAGTGGTATCACGCTGATCGACTTTCCGCGCGCAGCCCCGCTGCCGGCCTGCTGCATCGAGTACCGCACGGTGTACGTGACGTTCGTGAAGGGCATGCCGCGGCCGGAGTTCGCCCACCTGCCGTCCTCCCTGAACGGCACGCGCTACCCGGACCTGGTGGCCACCCTTCCGAGTACCGACATGCTCTTTACTTGCATTGGCCGCGAGAGCACTGTCAGTGGGGAGCCGGTGCACGGCGACCCGGTCTGGAAGCTGTTCAGTCAGGTGCAGCTGACTGACGCGCACATAAACGAGGTGTTCGAGAAGGTCGACCACGTGTACCATGGTGAATCCGGCGAGGTCAGCCACAAGTGGCTGGCGTACCCGCAGTACGGCGCGGGGCCCGAGGAGTTCCTGCCGTTCCTGCTCGACGACGCGCTGGCGTACACGAGCACGATCGAGTGGGTGGCCAGCGCCATGGAGATGAGCGTCATCTCGGGCCGCAACGCCGCGCTGCTCTTGCACAACGCTCTACACGGGTGATGAGAGCAGTAACTCATCTTAAGCTGTGGTTACGATGAAGTGTCTGACGTACGTTTATACTCACCATGCGAATTAATTTGCCCGGAGTGGAGAACCCCTCCTCCAGTCCAGGGAGATGATCGTAATTTCGGGGCGAAACGCAACGCTGCTCTTGCACAACGCGGCTCTGCACGGGTGACGGTAGTAACTGGGATTATCATGAACTGGCTGATGTACGTTACTATCATTTGCGAACCTGTCGACGGTGGAGAACCGCTCCTCGATATGCTGCTCGCCTCAATGTTATCCCATACTGCGCAGTACATGCATAGGCAATAGAACACAAGCCAGCTGTTGACATACGACTATTACGAGTTCTGTGTCTGCATGTATCTCTTTGAACATGTGCTGGAGATGGCAGACTACTGATCCCCTACACTTTACGGCTGAGTGCCAGTGTAGTGGAGTGTTTACTCTGCACTCTTTCACGAGTGGTGAAAAGACCTAGTCATGTTGTATTTTTCGAACAGTCCATTTTTTGATAGTCCATTTTTTTCAATCTATTGTGGAACAAAGTTTTAGGATGTGATCGTGGTGGTGGTGGTGGTGGTGGTGGTGGTGGTAGCGTAGTTTTGTGGACTTACTTAGTCTGTCCTGTGTTCTTGAAGCACGCGCTTGAGGGATGAAGCCCCCCCCCCCGCGCATGATATTGGTGTTGGAGTTCACTGGGAAATCGTACTTGTAGCATTTAAGGAGTCAACACCGGACCATAGAACCCGAACCGCAAGTGCCTTACTTTTCGTGCACTAGCACAATCTATGTTGCTAAATTCTTGCAAAAAGTGCTCAATATCACGAGGGCAGAGCCAAAAACACAAGTCAGAAATGGAACTAGGCTGAATTAAGCTGTAACTCAGAGTTTTATGGCTACCCACCAATCAATCCCAAGTTAGGAAGTTCTAAATGATCCATGGTCTACATGCAAGTCGCGATAGTGATCGGAGCCTTGACCTGCTGACCCCCAACGCCGCGACGCGTCGACAACACAGACCAGAAGTGAGCATGTGCAAATTGGACCCCGCCCCAAGATCATGCAAGAGCAACCGGAATGGGCAGCCGGCGGGAGCAAAACGAACACCGTTTAGAGGCATCATGTGAGAATCATTATACAGTGGAATCTGTGACTAAAGACCACCCCTTGGGGCCAGAGAAAGCGGTCGTTAGTGGCAGGTGGTCCTTAGAGGTTTGCACCGCACAACCATATAATATGAATGTGAGACCGTCCGTGCCTGACGAAGTTGTCTGTAGTAGCAGGCTGGTCGCTAGTCACGGTGGTCTGTAGTAGCAGGTTGGTCGCTAGTCACGGTGGTCTGTAGTAGCAGGCTGGTCGCTAGTCACGGTGGTCTGTAGTAGCAGGCTGGTCGCTAGTCACGGTGGTCTGTAGTAGCAGGCTGGTCGCTAGTCACGGTGGTCTGTAGTAGCAGGCTGGTCGCTAGTCACGGTGGTCTGTAGTAGCAGGCTGGTCGCTAGTCACGGTGGTCTGTAGTAGCAGGCTGGTCGCTAGTCACGGTGGTCTGTAGTAGCAGGCTGGTCGCTAGTCACGGTGGTCTGTAGTAGCAGGCTGGTCGCTAGTCACGGTGGTCTTTAGTTACAGGTTTTACTGTACTGTACTGTATACATAATGTCAGGGCGTGAGTCAGCGGAATCGCTTATGTTTGGTATTGTATGCAGCGGGTGATTCAGCGGCACGGCACATGGGCCATATATGTATACAGCCTGAGTCACTTGTGCAGCGCTGTGCAGCGACTTTGCCGAAGCATCTCAACTGAAGATGTACTGATTGTAATCGCATAACATCTACAGGGTTACAGTCAACAGTGGCTTCTCCCAAGACGGTACAGGAAAGCCCTGTGACTAACGACCACCCCGGCTTGGGGCCAGAGAAAGCGGTCTTTAGTGGCAGGTGGTTCTTAGTAAGAGGTTTGCACCGCACAACCATAATTATCTGAATGTGAGACCGCCCGTGCCTGGCGAAGTGTTCTGTAGGCTGTAGTACCAGACTGGTCGCTAGTCACGGTGGTCTGTAGTAGCAGGCTGGTCGCTCGTCACGGTGGTCTGTAGTAGCAGGCTGGTCGCTCGTCACGGTGGTCTTTAGTTACAGGTTTTACTGTACATGATTGCACAACTACTCTCGGGGAGTGGCTTTACAGTCGGCCCATGCAAAGCCAATCTATAAATGCAGAAAAGTGTCGTTATTCGCGAAGTGTCGTTATACCCGAAGTCTCATTATAATGTATTCAGGTAGAATGGACTGTGCTCTGGGCATGGAAACTCTGTCGTTATTCGCGAATTGTCGTTATATCCGCAGTCGTTATTAGCGAAGTTGACTGTACATGCACATGACTTTGTACACTTCTTTCTTTCGTCATGCGAGCATACTTGTCTAGACTTGGACATTGCAACTCATGTGTAATCTTCCCGGCCCTCGATTAAAATATTAACCCTTTGCATGCTGAGCCCCTTTTCTCCAATCCACTGGCTTTCCAGCGCACTGACTCTTAATACACGTAGAATTTGTCTCAGCCTTCACAACATCTTATGCTTTTGCTGCAACAAGAAAAGGAGGAGATACCATTGCATACCTGATGGGGGCAGTTTTGCCGAAACGTTTTAAGAATTGATTGAGAAATGAGTTTGAGTTTGCAGAGTGAATGGGAAGAGAGCGAGTCTGCTCTGAAACCTTTTTTTCCTACGAATGAAGCTGCAGGAAGCCTCACCACTGCTACTAAGAAAAGAAGGGATAAAGAATGTTGTGACTCGGAGTTCCACGCACAAGTAGTACAGGTATGGGCGATCATCAGGCAACGTTATGAGAATAACGGGGTTGCTGCTACAATTTGCCCACAACGTAAACCTGGACGTGAGTGACAGCCTGGAGCCTTCCAGTTTTACTTTTGCTAATACGCGGTGTACATGCACAGTGGTGGCCAGCACATGCACACGCGAATCTTCCTTATTATTACAGTAAAGCTGGTTGTGTTTCTCAACACTTTTGGTAGTAGTCGGTGGTAACGCGGATGTGCATACTTCCCAAACTTGTACATGTACATACTACTAATAGTGCGGCCGGAGTACATGTACATGTACATGACTGTACTTGAAGCTTCTGACCTGAATCGATCATTATAATTATTTATTTTCACTTATCCTGCAGGTCCCCGCTATACCTGGCGAGGAATACTTCGTAGCTCCAGGTGCTGCAGCTGGTCCGTGCTATGGGAGCGCATGGCTAAGCTGTTGAAATTCAGCTCCGGTTACATAGCGGGGTACACTGACGCTTGCCTGTCCGCACCAATTTGCGGTTTGTTCAGTGGATCTACGATCAATGTTATCAGATGCGGCCCTCTCCGGAGTGGCACAGCTCGAATGTTAGCAAACAATAGGTTGTTAGAAGCAGCGTTTGTTTACTGATATTGTGTATTTAGGCCAGACCTTGGTGCACTGTACTACCGGTAGGGTTGGTCATGTAGTAGTACTAGTACTACTAGTCAAGCCGCAACTGTTTCCTTACCTTTTGCCCCCTGGCATCCATGCAGGTCGTTGCGGTTCTAGATACAGTACCAGGAATTACCCTGCTATCTAGAGTAAAGAATCCTTGTCCCTTTTAGTTTGACTGAAGAGTCAGTGAAGACACATTGACAACCTACTCAGACTCCCTCGATTTCGGCTAAGGCCTGTGGAGAATCCATAAATACAAAATAATACAAAATACTGGTAAGAAGAGGGGAGCATGTAGCAGGACAGGATAACACAACAATGGGAAGATTAGGGGCTCCAAGAAGGAACCTGTGCTGGTGAGGCAAGCCGACCACGCCGACCTGTGGTCTCGGCGTTGCCGCGAGCTTGCGCGCCATGAGAGGGAGAGGAGCGAAGACATCATGGAGAGGGGAGTATTACTATGCACTTACAGTGGCTGTACCCTTACTAGGCTACGTTTGAATAGGAGGTCATGACATTGTCCAGCCCCAAGTATCAACCACTATTAGCACCCGGAGACTGCACATAGCGATATGGGAGGCTAGGCGATGGCGGTGGGCTGGTGCTTACACGTGGCTGAATTTGCCCGCCTCCGCTGCTTCGGCTCCGATACCTACTTAATTACATGCAAATGCTTCCCTGCTGATGCTGCACTGCATCACAAGCAAACAACACCAGCCACTTTTACTCCGACCGAAGCCATCATGGCCTTTTTTCTCAGTTTCTTTTCTGTTTACATCGTCTGATCCGAAGGTATGACACGTTCTCCTACATGTATATTCCATACTCAATCTGCGGACAGAACTGTTTCGTCCTTTGTGGACTCGTCAGCGCAGCACAGAGGAAATGAGGCCGAACCTGATAGCAATGGAAATAAAAATTTCCAATCAGGTCCGAACGTACCTTGCCAGAGTGCTCAAACTGACAAGTCAGTGAGCTCTGCATAACGCAAACAGCAAAGGCACTACCCCACGCAAGAGTGCTCAACTGCTACAAGAGCAGGAGCGAAATACTCAATCTGCGGACAGAACTGTTTCGTCCTTTGTGGACTCGTCAGCGCAGCACAGAGGAAATGAGGCCGAACCTGATAGCAATGGAAATAAAAATTTCCAATCAGGTCCGAACGTACCGTGTATATTCCATATTAATTTTTCTCTTTTCCATCTCCTTTTCTGGTACTCGAGAGGCATGCTGATGCTGAGAGCAGCAAAGGTCAGTGGAGTGCCTCCAGACTCACCACCACGGCTACCCTGTAGCCCCCACCTTCCCATTGGTCTCTATTGTCCTTCTCGAGTTCTCCCGTTTTCCTTTTCCCCGGTGGGGCAGTGTTATTGAAGGAGAAATTGTGAGGTGGAGGGGGGGGGGGGGGGGGCAACGTATCCAGACTCTATGCTTCAATGCCACCTGTGGATTCTTCGGGAAAATAACTTGTATACGAGTACAGGCCATAATATTTCTTCATGTATCATCGCAGCACTCTATCAGCTACTGCAAGGGCCAGCACTTGGTTATCAGCACTTCTGGAAAGGTCACAATCACTTGAAGTGATGGTTCACCCAATACTGATGTACCAACACCAACGCCATAGTCATTACACTGGCGCTATATACCCTCATGGTGGACACTGATTGTGTCTTTCAGCTCAGCTGTTTTTCACTCCACATTCGAACACTCCGATCATCTAGTGCCTGCTCCTGTGTCACGTGAAATGGTCAGTGGAAACTAAGCCCTGTTTCGCGTCTATGCTCATCGCCGAAGTGTAGCCTGCCAGAAACGGGGGTCGGCTAGCTGATGAACATCGCACGCCCAGTTGGGTGGTGTTCAAGAAATCTGAGATGACACACTGGTCAGCCATGCTAGCAAGACTAGCAAGAGTCCCCAGTCTTGACACACTGGCTATTTTGTGCGAGGTGATACACCTGTTGACGACTCAATTGTCCGCGTGTCACGGAGCAATCACGCGCTGCCAGTAGCGCAGCCGAGTCTGTACGTGATATGCAGTGATTTGGATAACGCCTGACTTGTAGCTGGTTCTTTAGCTGAGTGGTCGGCTTCAACTCTCAATATCTACCATTTCTCGTGATCCTTCACATCCGAATACTGTACTTACCCCTAATGAGTGATGGCTGTGGCAGCATATGGCAA